TGGGAAGTAACTCGTTACTTCCCATACCGCACAGAAGATTGACGCAATATTGCTGCAATGTTGCAATATTGCAGATTGCAATGTAACATTGCAGAAATATTACAGAAATGTAAATTAACAATTTGCCTGCAAAATGTCAGTAATATGCCTGTAATATTCCACAAACATTGCAAAACTGTAATTCTTTCATTGTTACAATAATAATAATATAAAAATATATAAGTTTTTACAATATTTATGTAGTACAGTCTTTTAATTTAACAGCCGTTTTTTTATGATATAATAATTAATATAATCCATTTTATATTTAAATAAAAAATTTATTGATCTATCATTTGACGGCCATTTTATTAGTTAAGTTTTATATTTTGAATATGAAATCAAAAGATTGTATAATATCGAGTTTGGATACAATCAATGTATCATTATAGGATAAGACGATGAATAATTAAGCTGCTGAAAACGATTTATTGAAATATTAATTATGTGATCGATGATGTGTTTATGCTTGATGTGAACGCAAGAATAAATCAGCTCCTGTGAACTTTATTGATAAATTTCATACCGTCATTTTTTAATTGATTTCAGTTGACTCGGAGTGGTTTCGAATTAAAAAGAATCACTGCGATTAACTTAATTCACGATTAACTTACCAAGCGACTGTATTATTATGTTAATGTGGATAATATTTGTAGTTTGTTTGGGCCACACACATACATGCTTTCTCCTTACGAATAAATTTATCCTTCAGAATTAATACTACATTTATTAGAATATTTTATGGATTATCATAAAAAATTGCTTTTGGAAAGCACATATTATAATACTATAAAATTAAAATTAGTAAGATACAGTGTACAGAAAATAGTTTTCATTTCAGAGTCTTCGTAAAAAATTTATCCAAATACATAATTACATTGCAATATTGCTGGAACGTTTCGTTGCAATATAACAAAAAGCGGACATCTTAACATTATTGGAATCTTGCTTCAATGATTCAGCAATGCTTCGCAACCACCATGCAATATTGCAATGTCTCAGTGAAATCATTCTGCAATGTTTCTGCAATCTTTCTATGCTGTATTGGTAATTTAATAGTTACTTTCATAGTTATTTTATATATTTTACTTACTTGTCAATTTAATGTGCGGTAGTGTCCACTTGGCGATACAAATACTTCGAAACATTTGATTAATCAGAAGAAAGAAAAATTAAAGCGTTCAATGAACTTTTGTACCTGTTTGATCTATATTTTGGGATCTAATGGAATCCGCCAATCAAATACAAGAGCGCTCAGTGAACGGTTGTAGACCATTCTGGATTAATGCTGGAATTTATTTGCAACTTTTAGCCGAATATAAAAAGAATTTTTTTTACAAAAAACATTGTATATGTAAATGTAAGCCAATATTTTTTTTAATTTTCCTAGGCTGCATTACTCTGATGACCCCGTGTATCATCCTTGTTTAATATATTAGGTGAAAAACAAGGGTAAAACGATACATGAAGGCAATTGGATAACGTTTCTGAATATAGCCCTAATGGTATCGATAATACTAGTAAAAATTCCGATGAAAAAAATAACTTAAAAGTAACTTAAAGTTACTTTTTCAGTAATTGTAACGAATTACTTTTCAGAGTCAATAACTTGTAACGGCAATTAATTACTTTCTGAAAGAGAAAAACTGTAACTGTAATTAATTACTTTTACAAAGTAACTTTCTCATTCCTGCAAAATTTTATTGTACCATTTATATACATTTTCCCGTTTCAATTTTATATCACAACAGGAAAATATTATGCTTAAAGTCGCTCTTGTGGAATTAGTGGGAAGCACGATAGTAATATATACGCTTGGATATTACATTATTATGGTACGCTATAGGTGTGAGAAGATTTTATTACAATTTTATTACACACAAATAAATGTCACTTATTTATAAAGAGTCATACATCGTTATTTTATTACAAAATGTGTATTGAAAATGATAAATTATACAATAAAAATGGGCTCATATTTTAAGTGTAGATAGTACAACACATTTTGTATTTGTAAAATCGATCGGTAACAAAATATTGTATTAAATTTTTTACATACTCACGTGTTAATTTAACAAAATGTTAGTTTTTAATTGTACGATCCAATAAGATTCGTATTGTTTAATTTAACAAAATGTCATTATGCTGTTTTAACATTTCGTACTAAACTGATATTCGACAATTATTAATATCGAAATATAATTTATAATCAGATTACACAGGTCTATAAAAAAAAGTACCCTGTACTGGGGTGGCGACCCAGCTATTCTTATATATTTTGAATTGCTAAATACGATCTGACATTAAAATAGGACCATCCAGAGTAAATTTTCAATCTAGAGCGAAAAAATGCGTCAAAATGGGAAAAAATGGGTCATTTTCTCGCTCTAGATTAACAATTTATCCTGGATGGTCCTTAATTTTGATGTCAGATTCGTATTCAGCGACTCAAAATACATAAGAATAGCGGGGTCTCCACTCCAGCACAAGGTACTTTTTTTTGTAGGTCTGTGTTATCGTATAACATAATGTAGTTTTAAAACGTAAATATAAGATAAATAAATAAAATTTACTAACTGATTTAACATATAATAAATGTTAATAATATTCAAGACATATATTTTCACAATTTGTTTTAAAATTGTATCAAAGAGTTTTTTTTATTAATTTTTTATGTAATATTTGTATTACTTTCTACTAATGTTACATTCACACAAAAATTTGAGCAGATCGTTAGGTACCTAAAGTATGTTGAATTTAATATAAATTTTCTACTGTGTGTGTGTGTGTGTGTAGATTTGGGAAATGTTCAATGCAGCAAAAATAATATCTTACGTCTTATTGTATTTATTATTTCAATATGTTTATATTTTGCTATATCGGAGAGATTATCACAGAACAAGTTATGATTATAGAGATATTGAAATCAATACCTCGATTTTATAACTCTTAAGGGGATGCTAAACCAATTATCTAAGTCGATCAGGGTCGATAGTACAGACTTTTTAAATTCCAAATTCGATAATAATGGTGACATCTTTGATTCAGTTTTTACATTACATTATATAATATATATCATTCTGTCTTACTCAAACGCATACATCTGTTCTTATCTAACATATGCCAGTAACATCTATCGCAAGACAACTACATCAACTACAGGACATCTACCGCGCAACAACTGCTACATGGAATTTCGGCTCTGTTGACAGTCCCAATCTTCGCAAAGCACCTGTATACACGTATATTTTCTATTCGGTGACGATACTTTTTTTCTAGACTTTAAATCTTAGTTCTACAAACTCAGTATCGTTCGTATCAATAATGTGACCTTAGCTGTACACGCTTATTTTCAAGATATGGACTTTAAAACTCTTATATTAAGCAACTATATATCTGAGGTGACAGCTATATAAGTCAAAAGTAAGTGAATTTTTATCGAATTTTAAACTTTTTTTTTATTTTCTCATAAAATCCAGTGCAGCTGAGGTCCTGTTTGTGCGTACTTTAATTTAAGTAATACTACTTTTGCAATCCGTACATCCAATACGGATATTTTTCACCGAATGGAAATGTGATAAAACAGGAGGCATCGCCTTAACAGTTCGGTATCGTTATGTTGTCGTTGCACAGTTTTTTTTCCATACATAATATCTGCACATCGACAATATAATGATACCCATCTGTCGATAAAAAGTTACAAAATCAAGGTACTGGAAATTGTTAGAATTTGATGTTACTTTTAATAATTTCATCGATGACCGCGTTCATAATGCAATGTTTTCTTTGCAAATGTGTTAGAAGTTTTCTTCGTTAAGGTAAAACTATTTCTTTAGACCTAAAAGTATAATCTCCAATAATCGCACATCGTAAAAAAAACTGTCAAATTGCAAAGTAAATTTACTAAGTAGATTCTGGAATCAAAAGTACTGTTCCACGTAATAATTTAGTCAATTATTGAAGCAAATGAAAAAACTGTTGTTTTGCTTGAAAATTTCAGTCATGCATAAAAAATAATATTTATTAATCTTTACGATTTATTATAAAAGAACGTGTTTGTCATATGGAAAAGCTATTCAAATCACAGTTGGTCGATAAATTATTTTACAAATTTATTTGATTAACACCTAAGATTTATTTAAAGGCAACTAAAAAGTTTTAATCGTTTACAATAATCAAGAATCAAACTTTTAATCATAATCAGTAACGTAATCTATAAATTGATTAAATTTTGCCCAACATTGGCTCCTATCAACCGTAAATATCACCACACATATGATAATAGCATTTATCATTATTTAACATTACAATGGCCATTGTAATATTACAATAACATTAATTTATTAATTATTTGTTTATTCACCAAATTATTCAAAATTTTAAACAATATATTTTTCTGATTTCCATATATACATTTATAACATCTTCTATATTTCATGACATGTAACTTATCATTACTTATAAATAATAAAACTCTACTCACATATATTCTCACTTAATTAAGATGCAACAAAAACGTAATTAAAATACAATATATTTTCGAATAAAAAAGTCTGTTACGTTAAAGCATTTTCATGAATCTTTCCTTACAATATGTTCACGACACGCAATATTCATTTCAAGCAATAGACTTCAAGCAATAGAACCCCTCAACGAGCAAATATATCGATTAAATATACGTTTCAGACCAAGGGTGCTTTGTATATGGACTGACATTTTTTTGTGTAACAAGTATCGAATAACCAATCAGAAACGATCCGCGTTTTACGTTATACGGAATTGAATGTGCTCATTGGTTACGCGATACACGTTACGAAGAAAATATCAGTCCATATGGAAACCTTTTTAATGTCAGATCGATCACCAAACTCTTCTGAAGACTGGCGCAGGCGCTTCTTTATATTGCGGTACGATGAATTGTCCATCCATGGCAGTATACTATATGCTCTCGTGAAGTGATCATGTCAAATTCCAAACATGCGCCAGAAAGAGAAACACCGGAAAAATATATCGATTACTGTTTACAATTTAATCGATGGTTTCTGAAACCAATCGGTGCGTGGCCACAAATAAATGCACCGAGTTCGGTGTGCAAAATCATGATATTACTACAAATTTTCATTTGTTCAAGCATAATAGCAGTCCCAACGATACCGTGTTTATTATATGTGCTATTTGAGGCAGAGAATATCCAGCAAAAACTAAATACCATGCTGCCACTGATCAATAGATTTATGAGCTCGATGCATTACTGGGTGTTGCTCAAACGTAGAAATGACATTCACAAATTGATACGACATATGGAAATAGATTGGAATCTCGTGCAAAGGATCGACGAACGTGAAGTGATGCTGCAACATGCCAAGTTTGGCCGTTTCGTTACTATAATCTGTGGGATAATGATGCAGGGTGCTTGCCTATTGTTCGCCTTATTGCAATCGATGAAAACTGTTACCATCATTATCGGCAACGAGACTTTTACAACGCATCCACTGACGTGTCCGACTTATAGCAAAATCATCGATACGAGATTTACCCCTCTAAATAAATTCGCGTTAGTTCTGCAACAGCTGGTAATATTAGTGATAAGTACCTGTACTGTCGGAGGTTGCAGTCTGGCTGCTGCCTTCGCGATACATGCTTGTGGTCAGTTAAACGTGCTGTACGCGTGGCTACATGAATTAGTTGAAAATCGAACGGAGAAAAATTATAAAGCTGAACAAAAACTGACTGCTATCGTAAAACATCACCTAAGAATATTGAGGTATTTCAAAACAGACATTCAGAAAAAACATACATATTTTCTAATACTCTATAAAAAAGTTCTAAATTGTCAGTTAAATTAATAATTAATCATTTGAAGATTAGATGTTTACGTTAAAATTAGGATAAATTTTTTTGCAATTCTTGTGGATTAAGAAGGAAGTTCGTAGTGAATTGTGGTCATGAAAAGCATAAGTTCAATGAACCGATGAAAGAAATTTTACTGCGTTATATACATTTATACGTTTCAGTTTTATATCACAAGTGGAAAGCATTATGCATAAAGCCGCTCTTGTGGAATTAATGGGGTGCACGATAATCATGTCCTTACTTGGATATTATACTATTATGGTACGCTAGAAATGTAAGAAAATCTTATTAGACACATCAAAATATTTATTCACAAAAAAGCAAATTCTACTAGAAAACATGTATTAAAAACGTTAATTTATACAATATAAAGATAAGCTCATCTAATTTTAAATTTTACATTGTAATAAAAAACATTTTGTATTCGTACTAAAATCGGTCGTTGACAAAGTATTGTGTTAGATTATTTACGTACTTATGTGTTAATTTAACGTAAAATGCATTATGTTGTTTGAACATTTTATGTTAAATTGACATTCAACAATTATTAATATTAAAGAAACACAATTCACAATAGAAGGGTAAACATATAACATAAACATATATCATAAACGTAACATAGCATAAAAATGTAAATTCTAAGATAAATAAATAAAATTCACAGATTAATGCAACATATTATGAATGTTAATATTATTCAAGAAATATATTTTCAAGATTTGTTTTAAAATTGTATCAAAATGTTTTTTATCTTCATTTTTTTACATAATATTACTTTCTCATATAATACGTGTTACATTTACATAAAATTTGAGTGGATCATTTGGCACCTAAAATACGTTAAATTTAGTACAAATTTTCTTCTGCGTAGATTTGGGAAGCACTTAATATGGCAAAAATAACATCTTACTTTTTTCATTATTTATCAATGGCTTTCAATATTTTTATATTCTGCTACATCGGAGAAATTGTCACAGAACAGGTATTACGTGGAGATTCAAAATATACTGAAACAAAAATATCACGTTTTAATATTTTCTTAACAATGTAGTCAGCATTTTAAGAAAAGAAGAGAGTGTAATACTACATATTAATAAAGAAATGTTTATTAAATTATAATTTTAAAAATAAAATTGTCTCATTTTTAACAAATTTAATTATTTCTATTTTCTTTCACGTTATATTAATCTAAATTATCAAATTCTTACTCACATACAAAATTTTATGTTAAATTAGTGCAAACTTGTCGGAGAAATAGCATATATGACTGATTGGTATAATCTACATCACACAACTGCACGTGGTCTCATTCTGATTATTGCCCGATCGAATAACGTAGTTAAGATCACAGCGGGAAAATTATTCCATTTATCCATCGCTACTTTTGGTAATGTAAGTAATGCAGATTCCTTCGTTTGATTAATAAAAAAATTAATAAATTATATAATACTTTTTGGATTTCAAATAATGATCATTTTATGAGAACTTTAATTAAATTATGTACAAAACATTCATACATAACAATTTTATATTCGTGTATATAATTTAAGACTTCAAATGTTAATAAATTTATATACCTAAATTTGTAACTTATGGAATGTGATATATATAATTTTTGCTTTCTATAAAAACAAGTATATTGTTATTCCAGGTAATTAAAACATCGGTCGTATATTGCAATTTTTTGCGAACAATGACTACGTAAGAGTTATATGAAATATAAATTAGAAAATATATAAATTATATATTTTATATAGAAAGTATTGGTATAGCCTGAAAATAATATTTAATCCTTTTGTTGCACTAAAATTAGAAATCACTGACCTTAGAAATATTAATATATCGAGATTTTCAGGAATCGTGTATTATTATTTTGCTTCCTGCGAGCGAGCATAAATTCCCTGTTAAAATTCTAATTTTAGGCTTACATTCTTATAATATACCGTTAAAGCAAAATATTTAATGTTTTTCATATACAAACCTCCCCCTCTCTCCCCCCCCCCTCTCTGGAGGAAACATAATCAAATATCAAATATGTATAATTATACAAGCAATTATATGATTATATATAAAATATGGAAAAACTCCAAATAGGTCCTATGCATATACTATATGAGACACCTACGCGCGCAGCAAAAGCAAGTTAATAAAGGACATCAATGATTATATCAAAATTAACAGTATGAGTCATTAATATACCTTCAATAACACATACTATATAATATTTTATAATTTTTTTCATATGTTATGAAAACTCGAATCATGTTTCTAAATTATTTTGTTTGAAGTTCTTACAGAATCTATAGTACTAAACTTTCGACAATATGGCGATGAATAAAGTTCAAAGTTTTTTTTGCGTACAATTTAGAATCCTACCAACTGTACTTTGGAATTTTTTCGTGATGTAAGTATGTAATAAGATATACCTTTCCTTTGTTTTGTTAATTAAATAATTAGAGAGAGAGAGAGTAAATCACATTTTATTCTACTCTATTAATTCTGAATTATCATCTTCTTATAAGAATTGGTCTGAATTGAACTATGTGTTATGTTTAAAACATCCACACATTTATTTATACACGTATGTATGATTAAAAACTTTTAATTTTTGTTTTTGCATTGTGTAGAAGCAACGCTTTTTTTTTCAGGTAATCTTCTGTAGTTAAATTTTCTTCCGAACAATACCTATGTGATAATGTGATACACGGTTAAGAAATATGCAAGATATATATTTTACAGAATAAATTAACATATTTTGAAAGTAAGATTTCATAAATAAAATGGACGATTATGTAAAAATTGAGATTGTCGTGACAAATATATATACTATATAATTTTTTATTATTTTTCTCATGCTTATTATTATAATTTCAATATTTAAAAAGTACTAATTCTTATTTTTATCGAAATTATATATTTGTCCTTTTTTGCAGTATGAGAAGCATGACTGCACGTAATCGAATATACAAGAATACAAGAACATAATTGGTAGTCACATCACACTCATTCTACGAGTTTATCTACTCATGACACGCGAGATATCCTCTTTCCACAACTAGTACTGTAAATTCGCGACAAACAATTATTGATCGGACCTATGGCCCTTTGAAAACAGTCGTAATATCAGGTTGTTCGTCAAACTTTTTCGAAGGTTTGCTCACGTTCTACTTCACATTCAACTCTGCACAATGCAATATTCGTGACAGCGCATTGCGTGTTTTTATAAAGTGATTATACTGAACATAGATTGGTAGGAAACATTGAAGTGAATAAGCATGACAATTGCAGCTTACAATCGGACGTATTAAAATGATTTTCTCCTAAATTATGAAAACTGTGTAGTAACATTTACTAATTTATTTTATAAAAAAAGAACATTTCGTTATACATATAGCTATGTTTCAGTATTACGTAAAACATATGGAAAGCAATATGTAAAGTTTGTTTAAATAAATATTGCAGTATTTTTATAATATACGAACATTATAAATTTTACTTATATATAGTATACATATGTATATCATTAGCAGTACATTATAACTTTTTCATAATTATAATATGTTAAAATTATTTTTTTTAAAAATTTTTTAAATTACAGAATTAAAATTTAAAAAATTAATTTATTTCTTTTACAAGAAAGCTAGCAATAAATTTGTATTTTCTATAATTAGAGCAATTGTAAATTTTAATTTATAATAAGTAATAGTAATAATTTTATGATTATATTTTATGCTGTACATACCTATAACTAAATTTGATTCCCATTGTTAAATGCACATTTGAAGCAATCATTTCACAAGCACATTATATTGTACTATAACACAATTGATCATTTAATTTGAGAACAAGTTTCATCTATGTATCGATTAGAGAAAAGTTTTACCCTTTCCCTTTAGAAGAAATCAATATAAGCGCAGATATCATGTTATTCAACTCTCTTTTTTCTGAACAGATAAGCTAGACAAATGGAATAGATGGAGAACAAAGATGAAACTATCATAAACAGATAAGTTCTTACGTCCGCTATTTTAAATAAAAATACAGATAATTTGCAACAAAATTATTTCTTTACAGTAATAAAAAAGACAAAACGAATTGCGTGACGATGTGACTCAGCAATCTATTACTCTCGCCGTCTATCTCGCAATGAATTCACTACTACTTTAATTTGCTTTTGCTGTCACTGTAAATATCGATTACTTAAGAGACGTGTGTATTAAACGAAAGTGTATAGTTAATACATCGCGCATGCGTTACTTTCTGACTATTATTCCGCGTGCGTTTCGAGTATCATCCGCGCGATGATATTACTCAATCGTGTCTGTATGCTCGAGAAGCGAACATGAAGAAACTTCCACAGAACTCGCCAATCATACTTAATTACATAGAGAATATGGAATACAGCATACAGCCAATTCGTTGGCTGCTGAAGCCGATAAGTGTTTGGCCAGTGATGGACTCATCCATCACGGAGAAGATTTCATCAGTTGTATTACTGATAACATGCATTTTTTTAATCGTCAGTATATTAGTGCCTTGCGCATTGGCTATATTCCTGGACGAGACTAAGGATGTGAATATGAAGATACGTGATTTTGGACCACTCAGCAACTGGGTACTGGCGAGTCTCAAATATACCTCCTTGCTGGTACATGTCGGCGACATACGTCAATGTATCAAACATATCGAAACGGATTGGCGGGCCATAACGAAGTCTGAAGAGCAGGAAGTGATGCTGAGGAATGCCAGGATCGGTCGTTTCATCGCGATATTCTCCGCAATATTTATACACAGCGGCGTATTCTCGTACAGTATTGTCCGAGGAATGACGTTGAGCGAATCCGTTGTCGAAGGTGATAACGCATCGGAACGTTCGCTGCCTTTTCCCTTCTATAATAAGATTCTGGACACCACGACGAGTCCAATGTACGAGATAGTGTTTACAATACAGTGTCTATCCACGTTCGTTGTGAATTCTGTAACAGTAAGCGCTTGTTGTCTCACCTCTGTCTTCGTGCTGCACGCCTGCGGTCAGTTAAAAATTTTGATGTCTTTGCTGGATAGTCTGATCAACGAAAGAAACGAAAAGACAGACTCTTCGCAGCAAAAGTTCGCTATCATCGTTGAGCATCATTTAAGAGTACTCAGGTAAAAATGCTAAATTTTCTGTATATAATAGATGTCAAATATTTCTTTCTCGCCTTCATTTTAATTTTGTGTTAAATGTTGTGTGAATGAGACATTGATCTATCACTGAATAAATATAAGCTGAGATATCTAAGATAACATTAATCTATATGCATAAGAAATGGACGTTATTTGATATATTATAAATACATATATTATTCCTAAATATATATTTCTAGCTTCGTATCTCATATAGAGAAAATTACGAATATAGTTTGTCTTGTGGAAGTAGGAGGGTGCACACTGCACATGTGTCTGTTGGGTTATTATTGTATACTGGTACGCGTATTATGAAATTTGTTTGCTGATCATTGCCTATTACTCGAACGAATTAGAGAATATTTTTTAGGATTGGAACCAAAACGAAAAAGAAGGTATGGTGGCATATGGTATAATATTGATCTCGGTTACTTTCAACATCTTTATATTTTGTTACATCGGAGAGATTCTTTCAGAACAGGTAACGACAATACCTGTTGAAAATATCAGCAATTTTATGCATAATTTGCGACCAATAAGAAATTAAATTATATATTAATAGTTAATTTCCTGTGTGAGTTTTATCAAAACGCGATATTGCCACGAGCGTATTGTTCGATTTAATCGTAATATAACAGTGTGGTCAAATTGGTGAAATTGCCTACATGACAAATTGGTATTTGTTACCCGGAAATACAGCCCTCGATCTAGTTTTGATCATTTTAAGATCCAGCATTGTAGTCAAAATCACTGCTGGAAAGATGATTGAGCTTTCTCTTTCAACATTCGGTAATGTAAGTATACAAAATGTATTTTTCAAATTATAGACGTGTAGCTTACAGAAATAGTATTTTAGATATTTTAATATATTAAATAAACGAATTTTATGTATTATAGGGTGTCTGATAATTATTGAAACAACACTCGTGGGTAGATAGAGTGGACTAAACTAAATCATTCGATAGTAATTTTGATTCAGTTTAATTAATTTCATATCTACCCATAAGAGTTGTATCAATAAGACATTCTATGTATATGTATATATGTATGACTAATTAATAGTATATATATAAAAAATTATAGCTTGTAAAAATAATTAGAAAATTGTTCAGCTATAGTTATTAAAAATTAACTTTTTAAAAGTCACACAGTGACAGGATGATTAATAACTATTTCAGGTAATTAAATCCGCGTTAACGTATTTAAATATACTTCGTACCCTCATTACGTAAATGTCATTACGTAAATAACTTTTTATACATACAATAGATTGTAAACAATGAATATAGTGTATAATTGAATAAATAAATAACAATATTGTCATAACAATATTTTTGCATGTCATATTTTTAAGTAATATTTAGTTTTACTTTACCTGTATCTTTAAATTTGCTATATTGTATTTCAATATACACATTATGATTAATTTCCTTAATAAAATTATTGATCTTACTCGCAAACGTGATTCTCAATGTAAATGCATGCTTAAAACTGTCCAGTATACGTAAAACTTCAGACCTAAATATCGATTACGCTCTGTTTCTACCTGTTGCCGCGGCGGCTGCACATTATCACAATAATACACGACAATACATTGTAAGGATCACTTGTCATATCATGTACTGTTCAATGTCTGCGCACGCGCTGATCATTACTACTGCGTGTACGACAGCGAAGGGATAGCTTCAGTAAGTTAGCTACCTTCGTCAGAAAATCATGGGGGATGATCTCGCAGATAATTCTAGCATCTCTCCGTATTTAGTCGATAAATACAATGAGTATAGTATCCAGATAATACGTTGGATTCTCAAGGCAATTAGTGTATGGCCGCGTTCTGCCAACGCTTCACTTATCGAAAAGATTCGTTCCGATTTCGCGATATTTATATGTTACTTCCTGATAATTACCACCATGGTACCTAATGGTTTGAGTATGTTCGTCGATTCGCAGATGTCCTACGAGACCAGGCTACAAAATTTCGGTCCGCTCACCTTTTGGTTCATAGCGATGGTGAATTATTCCTGCCTCCTGATGCACGTTGACGATATACACAATTGTGTGGAACACGTGAAAATGGACTGGTTGATCATCAGGAGATTCGAGGATCAAAAAGTGATGCTAAAGAGCGCCAAATTAGGTCGATTCATCGCCGGTTTCTGCGCCGTGTTCATGCACTGCGGTGTGTTCTCGTACAATGTCGTCCAAGGTCTCTCCAAGAGTATCCTGCACATGGAAAATAGCAGCATAGTAGTTCGCGGATTACCCTATCCCTTCTACAACAAGATTCTAAACGTGCACTTCAGTCCGGCATACGAGTTCGTGTTTTTTCTACAGTGTCTTTCGTCTTTCGTCGTCAATTGCGTTACGGTCGCAACATGCGGCTTGACAGCGGTTTTCGTGATGCATGCGTGCGGCCAAATGAAAATCATGATATCCTGGCTTAAAAATTTCATTGACGACAAAAAAGAGGAAAGGACTTCTCTAAGGCAAAGATTTGCAATCATCGTGAATCATCATTTAAGAATCTTGAGGTAAGCTATCTTCCTTGACAGTATGGCTCTTTCAATATTTTTTAATTTGCGCTATCATCAAATCTAATCCAACTCAATTAAATAATAGTGCAATAAATATAGTTAGTGAGCAAAATTGTTTAAATGCAAATATTACATGTTTAATTTATAATATCTACATGTTTTTAATTTATAATGTTCTATTTTTTAATGCAAAAAGTTATATAATAAATGTTGTATACCTAATAAAATTAAAATTGCTGAAAAATAATTATGATCGAGCGTGATCTCTATATTTGCAGTTTTGTATCTCGTACAGAAAAAATTATGAATATAATATGCCTTGTGGAATTAATTGGATGTACTATGCATATATGTCTCTTAGGGTATTATTGCATTATGGTATGGAAATTATTTCGGAAAATATGTATATACTTTATATTACACAATTACATAAATGTATAAATATATAAATAGGACTCTCAATCTTCAACAATCAAATTAATTTCAAGCAGGGGTAATGACAGTCTAGCGCTGATGTAAGAGCGATGAATTAGGAATGTAGATAATACTCAGATGTTTAAGGTCATCTTCCTTTATTGTTTCGTATTCAATCGAACGTTTCGACTCTTTTTGGAGTCATCCTCAGCGACGAAAAGAATATAATCCTCCATTGAGAGTAAGTCACTCGTAAATTGACAGAAATGCTGTGTTCTGTACCCTGTATAATTTGGAAGATTTATAAATTTTCCTAATATTCAATACTTATGAAACGTTCGATTGAATATGAGACAATAAAGGAAGACAACCTTAAATATCTGAGTATTATCTACATTCCTAACTTATCGCTCTTACATCAGCGCTAGATTCTCATTAGCCCTGCTTGAAATTAATTTGATACTTTATATTATTTCGTTCAACTCTTCGCATTTCTATCGCTTAACTATACATCAGACTTAATGTCTCTTTTAGGATTTTATTGATGGCAATCATCAAAGTATCTTATCACATTCGATGGTATTATCTTCGATTACTTTTAATATTTTTATATTTTGTTACATCGGGGAGATACTTTCTGAACAGGTAATATTTAACAAATTTAAAAATTTAACAATAAGAAACTGTACATTCTAATTAAAAAAATTATGACGTTACTTTCTAAATTCTATAGAGTGGGATCTCACTTTAAAGAACGAAAATAGAGCCAGTCTTGAATCTTTAAGAGAGCTCTCTTTTACTCTTTAGAGTGAGATTCAGTATAAAAGTTTTAAAAAGCAGGGAATGGAAAGTTACTTTTTAAAAGTAACAAGTTACAGTTACTCGTTACCGAATAGTTTCCGTTACTTGAGAAAGTAACTTTTCGTTACTTTTCCGTTATTTTTTTTTTTTTTAATCTACGACCGCCAGTCACAGCGGACGGGCCTAGGGGCTTCTCTAATCTCAAACGCTATGCGCTGTAAAAAATTATTGTGTAAATTATAACTATTATTAGAGGATAATTTTGAGACCCACTATAATAGTTGTAAACGTCCACACGTTCGTAAGTTTGCAATATACAAATAAAAATAATTTCTTGGTTCGTAACTAATAAGCAGATTGTGGAAGTACAATTACAATGTGTAGTTATAGAAACGATAATATGACAATACATTTCGCACTATATATTATTATATATTTAACAGCAATACGCGAAAAATTTCTGTTATATTTCGTAATATTATTAAAGTTTGGATAATTACAGAAAATATTTTGCTATTTAAATAATTTTCAATATAAAATAAGATACATTTACACAATAAAATCTACATAATTTTTGTGGACTTACATAATTTCTGTAAAATTGTATGATTTTTTATATATACGGGACTAATCATGTAATCTATTTTATATCTATTATATATGTAAAGAAATTTTTTTACAGTGTAAGTGGCTTGTGTCGTTTCGTGTCCAATCAGGTGCAAACAATAACGATAAAAGTAAAATTCGTTATCATTATCAAAAAAATGTAACTTTGTTACCGTTACAGTTACCAAAGAAAAAAAGTTACGCAGTTACCAGTAAAGTTACCAAAAAAATAACTTGTAACTATAACTTCGCTACAAGTAACGAGTTAATTCTATTACTTGTTAAAAAGTATAATATATATACGCGAGATTGAGATTTATTTATGTATTGGGGAATTTATTAAGATGCAATATCGCTGGTTTCTTTAATCGAATTATAACAGGTATACAAAACGGCCTTTAGGGCGAACAGATCGGTAAATCTGCCTATATGACAAACTGGTACCTCTTGCCAGGAAAAACTGCCCAGGGGCTCATTCTGATAATTTTAAGATCCAACGCTGTCATCAAGATAACTGCCGGAAAAATTGTTCAGCTCTCATTTTCCACTTTCGGTGATGTGAGTATGCAAAAATACATTATACAATTTATGCGTATATATAAAATATATGCAGCTTATATATTTGAATAAAGAATAGTATGGTTTTTGTATTATTGAAATTTTATCTGTGTAATATTCGTGTAATATAGTTGTATAAATATTTTAAGATACAAATATTTCTACAAAAAATAATTTTTTAATGAAGATGAGTAATTTCTAATTGCTTTAGGTAATTAAATCTGCATTAGCATATTTAAATATACTTCGGACTGTACTGCTTACGTAAATAATTATACAACTTTGGCATGAAAAAATAACAATACGCAAAATAGGCAGTCATTATAAAATAAATATAGATATTTAATAAAAACTTTATGTAATATTTGTTTATGTTGAATAAGTACCTATTGTCCAGGTCACAAACTATAAATTAATAAAATAATATTCTTGTTTATTAAAAAATTACTTAAAAATATACGATATAAATTTTAATTATAATTAATTACAATATTAAAATTTTATGAGATTATAAATACAATGTATATCGTATTTTCATACAACTATGGTCCTACGCCACAACTATGGTCCAAACACCCGCGCGTACGACAATCCCGATATGCAGGTATAATACGTAGATATAATTGTAAAAATATTAATTAAATGTAAAAACACTAAATTACCTATCATGTAGACCAGCGAGAACACAGAATAGCTTGTCGTGATAACCGATGGTCGAGAAAGTTGGGAACTAACCTCATTATCTGCTAACTTTCTCGACCATCGGTTATCAAGCTATTCTGTGTTCTCGCTGATCTATGACAGGTAATTTAGTGTTTTTACATTTAATTAATATTTTTACAATTATATCTACGTATTATACCTGCGTATCGGGATTGTCGTACGCGCGGATGTTTGGACCATAGTTGTGGCATAGAACCATAATTGTATGAAATTACGGTATATTCCCACTAAACATAATCAGTAGAATCGACATTGATCAATGTCGATGGCACTAATTCATTGACGTCGATTCTACTTATCATTAGCTGGGATATGAGGTGCATACAACACACAAGTCTCACTTTACAAATTCTGAAGACATTGACAATATGTTCCAAGTAATTATTTTATATGTATATTTATATTCACTTTGGGTATGTAAAAGTACACTTATTGAAATAAATTTATTTAGCCAATATTATCACTATATTTTCATGCCCGTTGCATTATAATAATAGTCAATAGTAATTTCAAGAAATATTTTAATCATTTTTTAGAGAGAAATTTATATTTCAAATTTGCTCTTACTCATTTTAAAGATGCATTTATTTCCCGTTCAAGATAACCATATGCGAAATGAAATACACGTAGGAGATCATCCACCGACTATGTTAGAAAATACTATGAAGTAGGAAACATGTTCCCAGTATATTACGTATTCCCCTTTGATGAACAACGGTAGAACTCTTCTTCCCTATAAAATTTATTTCCTTATCTGCATCCCCGCAAAAGGATTTGCACGAAGCACGCAATAAAATTCCGGGAACTATAATCCGTCTCACTAATAATGAAACGGCCAGCAGGTAGAAAGGGATAGGAAGGAATCAATTGCGTTCACGCACGAACGTTTATAGACAGAAGACGCACATGCGCATGTCGAACTGGCTGACGATCAGTTCACTGACGGTCAGTCAGTTGCGTGCGTCGTCGCGATTTAGTTATTATCATGCCCGATTATTCAAAGTCAAAGTCTATCGAATCCATAACGGATGGTTGGAACTATAGCATTCAGATGAACCGTTGGTTTTTGAAGCCGATCGGCGTATGGCCGTTGACTCTCTGCGAGACCACGGTGGAAAAAATTGGTTGCATGATTCTGACGGTGATCAGTTGTTTATTGATATGTTTCCTGCTCATCCCATGCACTCTCTGCACTATCCTAGTAGATACTGATCTCGACACCAAGATCAGAATGATCGGTCCGGTCAGTTTTTTGCTAATGGCCGCGGTGAAGCAATACATCCTCATTATCCGCAGCGAGAACATCGACGAATGCATTCGGCACATTCGCGTGGATTGGAGCCGTGTCGCGTTGAATCATGAGAAAGATCGAGAAATAATGGTGAACAATGCTAAGTTCGGCAGGTGGCTATCCTCCATCAGCGCGATCTTCATGTATTCCGCAGGTATATTCTTCACCACGGTGATGCCGATTTGCGCAAGAAGAACAGAGATCATTGACAATGAGACAGTGAGGTCGCTCTCCTTTCCAATTTATCGTGGTCTCTTCGATCCACGCACCACGCCATCCTTCGAAATCGCGCAATTCACGCAAGCTTTAGCTGGTTACGTCATTTATACGATCACTATCAGCGTGTGCAGTCTGACAGCAGTACTTGTCATGCATGCCTGCGGTCAATTTCGGATACTCATGCTAAAGATGGAGGACCTCGCGGACGGAAAAGAAAGGAAGAGTGCGAATAGTACGCACGAGGGAAGACTCGGTGATATCGTGGAACATCATATTAGGATACTCAGGTAACATTGCTATATGAAGACGATTGTATCCACAGAAGAATAAAATATATATATATATATATATATTATTTGCAATTTTTGAAAATTTTTCTTATAAAATATAAGAAATTTAACATTATGATAAACAATTTATAGAATATTATACACGAAAAATTAATATATTATTATATAAATATATTATGTAAATAGATTTTAGCTTTTTTTAATTTTAATTTCGTAACTTTCAGTTTTATCGCTCTCACAGAGAAACTTTTAAACGAAATTTGTCTCGTGGATGTAGTCGGATGTACGCTCAACATATGTTTTCTAGGATTTAATATGATGACGGTACGAAACATATTTGCGAACAATATTTTAAGTAAGTTCACAATATAGTATAATTACATTTTATGCTCATAACATTTTGATGTTAGCCTTTTAGGAATGGGAACATCGTGAAACATTAGGAACAATGACGTTCTGTTCATTGCTTATATCTTTCACGTTTAATATATTTATCCTTTGTTATATTGGTGAACTTCTTGCTGAACAGGTACTTAAATTGTAATGGCAGTCTATTATAATTAGAGGAGAGTCGCCGAATACGTACTGCTCACCTAAATCATACCTCATCAATATTTTACATTATTATTTAATATAGGCAACATTTAGTAACAATAACAGTTAGTAACAGTAGTATAAAATAAATAAAAAATAAGTAATATAGATAAAAATATAATAGCCTACGCCTTATTTTAAGGACATTACTGGTGTTTTAAAAAATTAGGTACGTCTGATATTAATTTTGAATCAATTTGTGTAGATAACAAGGCAATCATCCAATTTTATTATAAATTTTTGTATTTTTATAAAAAAAAAAGATTTATTGTAGAATATTTTACATTAACTACTATATATACATATTTGCAACCATTATAAAGATTAAATCGACATTTTTACAAAATCCATCAAGTTTTATAAATCATACCATTATAGATAAGATTGATAATTGACAATAATAAAACTAGCTAATATCAATATATAAATATCAAGTACAAAAATATATTTGTGCTAATTTTATTTTGACGTTATTTGTCTTTTTATTATTCTTATTGAACAATTAGAGAAAGGTCACCGATATCGACATACCACTTTGTTTTTAGACAATATTTCTTAAACAAAAGGTAAAAATACAACTTCAAAAACATAAATACAAAGTAAAAAGTGTCTTCTATCAGATAGTATAAGCAATTTTTATAATACTGTTTGCAATTTTGCATAATTAAGTTTTTCGTAAGTTATGCAAAAATGAGCGTCTGACAAAATGGGTTCCAAACCTGACATAGTAGGCAATAATACCAACATTCCTATTCTATAAATAAAGATATATCCTATTCTGTAAAGAAAACTAATTTATGAAACTATAAACATTTAAAATAACGTAATATTATCAATAATACAATCACTATTATTTTAATTACGCAATTTGCAAAAAAACACCGTAAGAATTTTTTTCTCGGATTCATAGAATTGGTTTTTAGCTGATTTGATATAGAAATAAGCCACAAATATATGAATTATGAGTTTGTACTTCTTTAATTAGCTAAACAGAGATCATGATTGTGTTAGTATTAATAAAGTGCAATAGTTTCTGAGAAATAAGGGAGTCACTTTAGGACACCTATGTCAGTATCGGCGACTTTCCTCTATTAAATATTTGATTTTCTTCAATAAATTATTAAATTTAGGTATTACCCAGATAACATGCATATTGCATAAGATACCTAAAAGACGTCTTTTAGTCATTTTTTAGACATAAGACATTTAAAAGACATCTTTTAGATATCTTATGCAACATAAATGTTATCTGGGTAATTAATTATTAAATATCAGTTAATGATTTCTTTTAATAATCTTATACTTTCAATTATTTTCGTTCATAAATTCAATATTTTCAAAGGAAATACTATTTAAAAAAAGACTTACAGAAATAATTTAAGCAATCGATTGCCTAAATCATACTTTTTGCAGCATATTATAAAAAGACTTATTAATTAATTTGTTATTGGTGAAAAGTTAAACATGCAATAATAAAACCTTAAGCTACAATTTCTAATGTTCATTTGCGTACAAAACAGTGCCAAATGGAAAATGTAATAAAAAATAGATTAAGTGGTATGTATTCGACAATTCTCACTAGATTGTCTATTTATATCATTTGAGATTAGACTTGAAATATTCTTAGAGTAACAGCAAGAAAAATAGAAATTTTATTTTCTCAACTTTACAGCTAAATTCCTCGAACTAAAGGATTTCGATATTTTTCTATTGAAACTCGTGTTAAACTTAATGTTACATAAAAAATCCAAATTTTGTATAAGAGCTTTGTAACGTAAACGACTAAGTTATTAAATGCGTTATAAGAATTGTTGTGTATATACGTCATATACGATATAATTGTTGTCTACATAAAAATCATCAAAATGTTTTTAACAGTGTATACAAATCGGTATGAAGTCTTATATGATAAATTGGTATCGGATACCGAATAAGGGAGCACTCGGTTTGACATTAATAATGACCATGTCGAATGCCACCATCAAACTTACAGCTGGAAAATTTATGGATTTATCCTTAGCCAGTTTTTGTAGTGTGAGTAGTATTAAAATTATTTTCACTTATTCATACATGAAAATTATTTTTTATTATTTATAAGAAATGGATAGAAGACAATATTCCAGATTGTTAAAGCGTCCGTGGCTTACCTGAATTTACTTCGTACCTTCTACGTTTAATACGGTAAAATCATCGTTATCGAGATGTACTATATAGTAACGTTAGTGCGTTAAAAAATATATTTAATAAAATTTAGATATACGCCAGCATATTTATTAATAAATCAAGTTACATAAATTATCGATCACGTAAATATAAACTTAAATAGAATTAAATTTATTACGATATTGACAAAATTGAAATTACAGATTAACTAATTATACTCTCTATAAAATACAATATAAAGCTAAGTTACATACAGTGTTACGCAAAGTGCAAATAACTATATCCTACGCACTTATATACTGACTGTAATATTTCCAACGTTGCGTTACGCACTAGGGAAATAGCGAGGATGCGTACATCCGTGCAACTATATTAGAACTTGTAAATTTCACGTTGTTACGCACTTTCATTCGTCATCGACATGACGACCCTTAGACATGCAATGACTGGGAAAGGGAGACCTATACGTGCACGCACGTCTTCCCCTTACGTTACATATAACAGGCACTTACACGCGATCACATCATTATTTTCCCGCGCTTGCGTCGCCACGCAGACATCAGGATGGTATCGTATGCGTATTTCAGTCGGCGTTGTACACTATGGACGATAGCATGCGCGATCGATCCCAACTTCCAGACAGGATACACAATATACATTACGAGCACGACATATACTACGCCATGCAGCTATGCCGATGGATCCTGAAACCGATCGGTATCTGGCACATGATTTACAGTCGCTCGTCGCAAAGCGAGAAACTTCTTTCGTTAATACTGATCTTCGTGTGTTTCTTTGGTCTGTGCTTCGTGCTTGTACCCGCCGGTCCGTACACTCTATTTCGTGAGAAGGACATTAACATTAAGGTCAAGCTTTTTGGACCGGTTGGATTCTGTCTAACTTCCGCGATCAAATATTGCTTCCTCGGAGCGCGTGCCTCGTCGATCGGGAGATGTGTCGAACACGTCGAGAGCGATTGGCGGATCGTGCGACATTATGACCATCGTAGAATGATGCTGAGAAACGTGCTGGTGGGCCGCAGACTAACGACGCTGTGCGTGATCTTTCTTTACACCGGCGGCATGTCTTATCATACGATCATGCCATTGTCTTCCAGAACGAAGACGAATGGCAGCTTCACAAGTAGACCGCTAGTTTATCCGGGATATGATCTCTATTTCGATTCTCAAGCAAGTCCCGCTTACGAGATCATCTTTGGCATGCACTGCCTGTCCGCTATGATACAATATAGCGCTACAACAGCAGCGTGCAGCCTGGCTGCAAGCTTTGCGACGCACGCGTGCGGACAGGTGCAGATATTGATGACACTTTTGGATGATCTAGTCGATGGGAAAAGGACTAAAGGTACCAATGTGGAGAAACGTCTAAGATTGATAACGAAGCATCACGTGCGTGTGCTGAGGTGAGACGGGGAAAGCGCCGAGATAGTTTACATAACGCGTTTCTAGATTTATATGGGGTAGATACATGGCGCGTTTCTAGATTTACGGCTGATGTGGAGAAAATATTACGTGAAATATGCTTACTGGAACTGGTTGCTGCAACCTTGATTATATGTTTGCTCGAGTATTATTGCATGACGGTAAGAAAATTACTATAGCAGACACGTATCACAATAACATAATTATATCTTTTTCGTGTATAACAAGTTCTGTCGTATTTTTAATATAGCTGTTGATTTAAAATTACAATAATTGAAGGACTTGCTGCAATAACGTAGCTGAGTATGCGATATTGAATGAGTCATTTATTTATTACAAAGGTTAGATTAATTAATATTATATTTGTTATGTTTATGTAGTGATTCGTATTTTTTACCTCTACAACGTAATTATCTAATATACATAGAAAATTTTACTCATCTTATAATATTTCTTGTATACACAATCTGCATTCTGTAATAAATTTTCTGGACATGTGTCAAAACATGAAAGAGTTTTTGTAGCATGTACAAATGTATTTTTCTCATCATTTTAACTTTAAGGCCCGTCTACAATACACGGAGTAAGAAGTAAGAGTAAGAAATTGACCAATCACAGTCGATTATTCTTCTCACATTCGACTGTGATTGATCAATTTCTTACTATTACTTCTTACTCCGTGTATTGTAGAAGACGCCTTAGAGTTTACTATTTCCGTTTTTACGAAATGTGTGTTACGTGTCTAATGTTGCAGTAAGTCCTTTAATCATAACGAAATAGAAAGGATCTTCTTTTTTCACTAATAAATTGTAAATATCTAGCTTTGTCTCCTCAGGAATGGGCGAATAGCGATGCCGTGGCCATCCTGACATATTTTATGTTACTGATATCTTTAACGTTCAACATTCTAATATTTTGTTATATCGGTGAACTCCTCGTGGAAGAGGTATTTTTTACAATATATTAATACACAAAAATTTTTTTAGAGGTATAATACAATTATTAAAAATCCATAATATATCAGTCCCATTTTGATGACTGAATAATAAACTTAATATAATTTTGATATTAAATTATTTTTATTTTTATTAGTTTGGCAAAATTGGTTCAGCCGCGTATGAAGTTAATTGGTATGATCTACCCGGCCATAAGGCTGTAGATCTTGTAATGATAATTACAATGTCTTATTACCCACCCAAGCTTACAGCTGGCAAGTTCTGTGATTTATCTCTCAATACTTTCAGCACCGTGAGTGTCATAAGTAACTATTCTTACTGATTAAGTAATTCTGTACTTGTAATTCTACACTTGTAAACTGATGGCTTCCATCTTGTTCAATTCTATTCATCTGTTTATAAATGTTATTGTTACATTATTAAGTCATATTTCTAAAATTCATATTGTTTTTAGGCACTTAAAACATCCGTAGTATATTTAAATTTACTTCGGACAGTGACGCAATAAAATTTATACAATCCTCAAAAAATATACATGTATAATCCTCATTATTGTTCCTGGCAGCAAGTTTGTTATAGATATATTTATTCTCAAAAAATAATAAATTAACGTATGTCACATTCATTATCTGTCATTATATATCATTCTCTCTCTCTCAATCAATCTTAAAAAATAGATAAAATATTGATAAATGAAATCAACTTACTATTACGATTTCATTGATCATAAGGCAAAAATGTACTGCGTTTAAAAATTAAAATTTACTATATTAAAAAAAGAGAAATAAAACTAGAACACTGTAATTGTAAAATAACGTACGTGGTATAATGTATAGATAATATTGAAAAAATCATCAACGGTGGATTTCGCTTGAAAGATATTGAAGCTACGCATTGCGTGTGGAACACCTTATGAACTTCCAATCCCTTCGCGCTTGCACATCACTGAATGAGCCCATGGACAAGCAATGACCGAGGGGAGAATCAATCGTTCGCATACGCATGACTGAGCACCTGGTCATACATGACAGCCATGAAACGCACATACACGCAACATTGAAGTCATTACTTCCCCGCGCTTGCGTCACGAGAAACGGAACGTCGCGTAACGTCCGCATGTTTCAGTCATCGTTATACTTCGCAGACAGCATGAGCTATCGATCTCCACTTCCAGACAGGATACACAATGTACGTTACGAGCACGACATATATTACGCTATACAGTTATCCCGGTGGATCCTGCAGTCGATTGGTATTTGGCACATAATTTACGGTCGCCCATCGCAAAGCGAGAAGCTCCTTTCGTTAATGCTGATCTTCGTGAGTTTCTTCAGTCTGTGCTTTGTGCTTGTACCTGCCGGTTCGTACTTTCTATTCTACGACGAGAATATTGAAATTAAAATCAAGTTTCTTGGACCGGTTAGCTTCTGTCTAACTTCCGTGATCAAATATTGCTTCCTCGGAACGCGTATCTCGACGATCGGAAGATGTATCGAACACGTTGAGAGCGATTGGCGGATAGTGCGATATCAGAATCATCGCAGAATGATGTTGAGGAACGTGCTGGTGGGCCGCAGAATAACGACGCTGTGCGTGATCTTTCTTTACGGTAGCGGCTTGTTTTATCACACGATCTTGCCATTGTCTCTCAGAACGAAGATAAATGGTACTTTGACAAGTAAACCGCTGCTTTATCCGGGATATAATCTCTATGTCGATTCTCAAGCAAGTCCTATTTACGAGATCATCTTTGGCATGCACTGCTTTTCCGCTATGATACAGTATAGCGCTACGACAGCAGTGTGCAGTCTGGCCGCGAACTTTGCGACGCACGCATGTGGACAGGTGCAGATATTGGTGACGCTTTTGGATGATCTAGTCAGTGGGAAGGGGTCTGAAGGTACCGATGTGGAGAAACGTCTGAGCTTCATAACGAAGCATCACGTGCGTGTGCTGAGGTGAGATGGAGAAAGCGCCGAGATAGTTTACATGACGCGTTTCTAGACTTATTTGGAGTAGATACATGGCGCGTTTCTAGATTTACTACTGACGTGGAGAAAGTATTACGTGAAGTATGCTTAGTGGAACTGGTGACCGCAACCTTGATGATATGCTTGCTCGAGTATTTTTTCTTAACGGTAAGAAAATTATGGTAGCAGACACGCATCATGATGATGTAATTATAGCTTTCCACGTATTATAAATTTTATTGTATTTTTAATATAGCTCTTGATTTAATATTACAGTAATTAAAGGGCTTGCTGCAATAATATATGGTATTGGTAAAAATGGATGAGTCCTATATTTGTCCTAAAGGTTAGGCTAATTAATATTATATCTGTTATGTTATGTAGCAATTTGTATTTTTTTCTACTTTTCAGCAATGTAAGTATTTGATGCAGATAAATTTTACTCTTCTCATAATATTCCTTGTTTACAATCTGCAATCCGTGATAAACTTTCCGGACATGTCAAAACATGAAAGTTTTTGTAGCATATGCAAATAAATGTATTTTTAACGTCAGGGTGCGTTCAGATTATTATCGAGCCGAAACTCGAATCGAAACTCAAGACGAACCTCGGACCGCGAGTATTTTAGCAAACATTTGTTACGCCGCTGGGCAAAAAGCAATGAAAGTTAGCCGAAATGTTCGCGGCTCTATATTCGGCTCGAGTTTCGGCTCGATAATCTGGACGCACCCTTAGAGTTTACTGTCTATGTTTTTACAAAATGTGAATAAATGTGAATTAGTGTTGCAGCAAGTACTTTAACTGTAACGAAACGGAAATAGTCTTCTTTTTGTACTGATAAATTATGAAGATCTACTTACAAATATTTATATGTTTATCTTCTCAGGAATGGGAGAATAGCGACGCCGTGGGCATCATGTCGTATATTTTATTACTTATAGCTTTAACGTTCAACGTTCTAATATTTTGTTATATCGGCGAACTTCTCGTAGAAGAGGTATTTTTTACGGTATACTGCTGACAATAAAAATTTTTTTCAGAGTATCTTCAATCATCAAAAATTCATAGTATATAAATCCTATTAAATAAATAATAACAATTGTAATATTCAATTATTTCTGTTTTTATTAGTTTGGCAAAATCGGCTCAGCCGCGTATGAAGTTAATTGGTATGATTTATCCGGCCATAAGGCTATGGATCTTATTATGATTATAATGAAGTCTTATTATCCACCCAAGCTTACAGCTGGCAAATTCTGTGATTTATCTCTCAATACTTTTAGCGCCGTGAGTGTCATAAATAACTATTGTTTTTGTTTAAATAATTCTATACTCGTAATTCTACACTTGTAAACTTGATAGCTTCCATCTTAATCAATTCTATTCATTCTTTTATAATTGTTATTATTACATTATTAATTCATGTTTTTAAAGTTTACATTGTTTCTAGGTACTTAAAACATCCGTAGTATATTTAAATTTACTTCGAACAGTTACGGAATAAAACTTAAACAATCCTTATTATTGTTAGTGGCAGCAAATTTGTTATAGATATATTTTTTCTCAAGAAATATTGTATAGAAATCAATAATAAATTGACATATGTCACGTTCATTAGCTGTTATTCAATTAATCTTAAAATAGATAAATTATTAATTTTTAACTTACTATTAAATTAACTTACTCTATTATGATTTGATTGACCTTGAGACAAGAAATCGATTGTATTTAAAAATTATAATTTATCATATGAGAAAAAAAGAAAATTACAATTATATTGTAAAATAATATACAAAATGCATATTTATATTATATGTAGTTTATAAGTAATATTTAAAAAGTCGCCAACGATGAATCTCGCTTGAAAGATATATAAGTTACGCATTGTGTGTAGACTCGTTATGAACTTCCGATCCCTTCGCGCTTGCACATCACTGGACGAGCCCTCACGACGAGCAATGACCGGGGGGAAAGTCAATCGTTCGCATACACATGGCTGAGCACCTGGTCATATACATATGACAGACATAAAACGCACATGCACGCGATACTGAAGTCATTACTTCCCCGCGCTTGCGTCGCGAGAAACGGAACGGTGCGTAACGTCCGCGTTTCAGTCATCGTTGCGCTTGGCGGGCGACAGCATGCGCGATCGATTCCAACTTACAGGAAGAACGCTCAAGATGTACAATATACACCATAAGTACGACATACGCTACACAATGCAGCTGTGCCGCTGGGTGCTAAAACCGATCGGCATGTGGCACCCGATCTATGGTCATCCATCGCAGAATGAGAAGTTCATCTCGATAATATTGATCGTCGTATGCTTCTCCGCTCTATGTTTCGTCCTGATACCTGCCGGATTTTATACTTTATTTCGCGAGAAGGACATCAATATTAAAGTCAAGCTTTTCGGTCCGGTCGGCTTCTGCCTGACTAACACGATCAAATATTGTTACTTTGGTGCGCGCGCTGCGGCGTTCGGAAGATGTATTCGACATGTCGAGGACGATTGGCGGATCGTGCAGCATCAAACTCGCGAGATAATGCTGAAGAAAGTGCTGATAGGACGCAAACTCACCACGCTGTGTGCGATTTTCCTTTACACCGGTGGATTGTCCTACCATATAATAATGCCGTTATCTTCCAGACAGGAAATTAACGAGAACTACACGATTAGAATACACACTTATCCCGGTTACGATATGTTTTTCGATCCCGGAGCCAGTCCTGCTTATGAGATCGTGTTCTGTATTCATTGCCTATTCGCGATGATCACGTATCACATCACGACGGCATCCTGTAGCTTGGCAGCGATTTTTGTGACGCACGCGTGCGGGCAAATACATATACTAATGTTGTTGTTGGACGATTTGGTTGAAGGAAAATGGAGCAAGAACACCACCGTGAAAACACGTTTGAGCGCGATAGCGAAACATCATGTACGAATACTGAGGTAAGTGGAAAATGCGAGGAAAGTGCGCAAGTAGATACATATTGCGCGTGATTTTCTAGATTTTCGGATAGATACGTGACACGCTTCTAGATTTTCGGCCAGCGTGGAGGAAGTGCTGCGCGAAATATGTTTACTGGAACTGCTGACTTCCACCTTGACTATATGTTTGCTCGAATATTATTGCCTAACGGTAAAGAAAAGAATATCGGCGTAATATATTGACGTTAACATAATCTTTCTTAAAGTTATGTGCAAAATTCAGTTTATATAGACAGTTTTGTTGAACTTTGTGATAGTACATTTTACCTTCTCAGGAGTGGAAAAACAGCGATGCCATAGCCATCTTGACATATTTCATCCTGTTGATATCTTTTACATTTAATGTTCTGATATTTTGTTACATCGGTGAGCTTCTCGTAGAACAGGTATTTTCATAATATTTGTAGCATAAGAAAATTTTTCACTTATCTTTTACTGTATTACTAATGAGTTGGTTTAATTTTATACAAAAAAATTGCAATAAAAAAAAGAGGAATATAAATTTCATTATTAATACCTATTTTTCAAAAAATGTTTAAAATGTGCTTTATTTAATTATTATAATTTTGTAAAAAATTTCTCAAATGCGCACTGAAAAAAAAGTACTAAATTTGGTAATTATTTACATTAGGAGATCTCTCCAATGACTTTGATCTTAATATATGTTGTCAAGGTCATGATTCTGAGTAACCTTCAACAAATTTTAGCCATCGCTCGTTATTCGTTAAAAAGTTATTAACAGTCAAAGTTGGTAATTATTTCTCTACTTTACATGAAAAGTCAAATAACTTTAGGCAGAGAGAGAGAGAGAGAGAGAGAGAGAGAGAGAGAGAGAGAGAGAAGTACGGGATGGTCCGATTAAGGCAATACGACTTTCGCGAAGCGAAATCTATCCCATTTCCCCCTTGCCTAGGGACGTACGCCTTCCACGTGGAGGTCCACCCTAGTATTGGATGG